CGAGCAAATCAGAATGCGCTCAGAGATGTCCTACAAAAATTGGATGAGATTGCCTCCATAGTAGGCTTTATATGGCTAGTAAATGTTCTTGTACACAAGACACTGGAGCTATATAAGCAGCAGTTTCTAAGGGAGCCAATATATGATACACATATTTACTGTCCGTGTATAAGTTAAATGGCTCATCAGAAAAATGTTGAAGGGCTAATTGTACAGCAACTAGTTCCGCAAATTGTGCAGACTTCACTTTAAGTATAGAGCGTTTGATAATGGGAAAAGAAACAACTACTGCACAACCATTTGAAGAGCCATCTGTAAATACATTGCGGGCCCCCTTCAGAGGATTTTGGGAAATAACCTTGGGGAAACACACAGGGTGATTTTTAAAAAATGGCAGGGTATGGAACACAAGAAATGTGCCCATTCCTCATCAAATTGTTTAACCCATTGTATCTGTTGTTGAGTATAGGGAGTAACAATTACATCCAGCATCTTGCCAAAAACTTGAATACTCATTTTGTATGCCTTTTGAAAAATAGAAAGCATTGCCTGAGGAGAAGATCTAACTGTCTTTCTTAGGGATGCATGTTAATGCACCCATAATATATGACCAGTTTGCCAAAATACCACAGTAGGGGAATATGCTGAAGCAAAGACTGATAACATCAAGTTCTGAGAATAGTCAATATAACTTAAGTGTGCAGATTGGAGGCATTTTTGCACGAGCTGTATACATTCTCGTGCAGCAGGCGTTAGGGTGCGCGGAGAAGTGGGATCAGAATCTCCTTGTAAAATATCAAATAATGGTCTAAGCTGCCCAGTGGTTAGGGCCAAACTAGATCAAACCCAATTTATGTCTCCCAATAATTTTTGAAAATCATTAAGGGTGGTCAGATTATCCAGCCTTAAAGTAATCTTTTGAGGACAGATACCAGAAAATAACAATTGATGACCCAGGTATTGATAGGGAAATTCTTGTTGCACCTTTTCTGGGGCTAATCTTAAGCCTGCTAGTTGAAGATTATGTTGCAATTCCCCAAAAGCCTCATTAACTTCCTTAGAATCCGGGCCGGCTAAAAGAATATCGTCCATATAATATATAATATATAGGGATTTAAATTTCTCTCTAATGGGGGCAATGGCCAATGATACATAAATTTGACAAATAGTGGGACTATTAGCCATTCCTTGAGGCAACACCACCCATTGATATCTATTATAGGGCTCTTTAAAGTTAATAGAAGGAATGCTAAATGCAAATCACTCACTATCCTGAGGATGCAAAGGAATGCTAAAAAAGCAATCTTTTAGGTCTATAACTAATAAATGATAGCCTTGAGGAATACCCACAGGGGAAGGCAAGCCAGGTTGTATTGCTCCCATAATTTGCATACAATCATTAACAGCTCAGAGATCTTGTAGGAGTCTCCATTTTCCAGATTTTTTCTTTATAAAAAAGATTGGGGGGGCTGGAGAGATGGCTCAGAGGTTAAGAGCACTGGTTACTCTTCCAAAGGTCCTGAGTTCAATTCCCAGCAACCACATGGTGGCTCACAGCCATCTGTAATCGGGTCTGGTGCCCTCTTCTGGTGTTGAAGCAGACATGTAAGCAGAGCATTGTAAACACAATAAATAAATCTTTAAAAAAAAAAAGATTGGGGTATTCCATGCGGAAGTGGAAGGAACAATATGTCCTGCCTCTAATTGTTCCTTTACAAGTTGATGTGCAGCCTGTAACTTCTCAATAGATAAGGGCCATTGCTCCACCCATACTGGGTTATCAGTTTTCCAGATAATAGGAATGGGAACAGGCTGCATAGCAATAGCCCCTAGGGAAAATTTCCCAGCCCAGAGCGATCTCTGGCTCTTTTGATTATTAAATTTTTGGATGCAACAGACTGAGGGTCACCTTGTAGGAATTTACCCAGTCCTTTTCCTTGTACATAACCTTGGTCAGCCAGCATATTTTTAACAGGCTCAGTAGTAAGGACTGCTCCCATGGCCTGAAGCACACCTCTCCCCCCAAAGATTAACAGGTATATGACTTAACACAAAAGGCTGAAAAATTCCTGTATGTCCTTCATCATCTGACCATTTAAGAAACTGAGTACTACATTCTGGAGCCACAGCAGTTCCCACTCCTTGTAAATGAGTGGAGGTCGGCTGAAGAGGCCATGCTTGTGGCCAATGTTTTTTTTTTTTTTTTTTTTTTTTTTTTTTTTGCTATTACTGAGGAGTCCACCCCAGTATCCCCAAGTCCAGAAAATCGTCTACCTTGTATGGTAAGGGTGAGCATGGGGCGCTGTTCAAGAGTTGATACCCAAAAGACACCCATGGAGCCTGTGGACCCAAAACCAGCAGATCCCCTGATGTCCTTTAAAAAGGGATTGTTGGTTTTGAACATAGGGAGAAGAACCAATTGTGCTATCCGAGCACCCTGTGGTATCATTAATACCCCCATTTCTGCTCTAACTATGATTTTTATTTCTCCTTGAAAGACTGAATCTACTACTCCTGGAATAACTCTAATTCCTTTCAACAAGGCACTACTGCGTCCTAACAATAGCCCTATTACTCCTGGGGGAAGAGGCCCAAAGACTCCTGTTCTCAAGGCTTGAGTGCCCATTGTGGTGTTAATATTGCTCGGGTGGCAGAACAGAGGTCCAATCCTGAGCTTCCTGGGATACCTCTGATAAGGTCTTGGACATAAACGGATTTCTCTGAGGGATCATCTGTATTGGGCGGGTTACAGGTGTATCCATTGCCCCTACACGTGGGCTTGAGGAGCCCAAGGCTGGCCCCAATTCCCCTTTCCCAGAGTGGGTAAAGGATTACCAAGGGCATCTGTCTTTGACCCACATTCCTTGCTCCAATGATGACCCTTACTGCAACATGGGCAAAGACCTGGCCTAGGGCTCAATTGCGTTGCCACACCCTGGGGGCAGTTCCTTTTAAAATGTCCTGGCTGTCCACATCCAAAGCAACTCTTTGGTCTGGCTCCTCCATTGTTCTCCCCTCTTTTCACAACTGAAGTTATAACCTGGCCCATAAATGTGATGACCATCTATGTCCCGACATATGCGTATATAGTCATTAAGACTTTTGGACTTATGGGGACGTAAAGCCTCTTTACAATACTTGTTTGCATTTTCGAATGCCAATTGTTTAACTATGGGCATGGCATTTTCAACATCACCAAAAATGCGGCCTGCCAGCTGTAGGAGGCGGTCTGCAAATTCTGAATAGGGCTCAGAGGGTCCCTGCAATACCTTAGATAGTTGATCTCCTGCAGCCTTATTAGGCAGGGCTTTCCAAGCTCTAGTAGAAGCAGCAGCAATTTGTGCATAGACTGCTGGGTCAAAAAGAATTTGAGCTGCAAGGGTACCATATTGACCTCCACTTGTAGCGCTGGTGAGCATATCTGAATTCCTAGCAGGAAATCCAGCAGCAGCATTACTTTGCACAGTTTTCTTGCAAAATTCTTGAAATTCGCCTCTCCAGAGCAAATAGTCACCCCCACTCAGCCTGGCTCTACAGAGCTGCATACAATCACTAGGGGCGCAATTTAATGCTGTGAAAGACTCAAAAATTGACTGAGTAAAGGGAGCATGAGGCCCATAAGCAGTTACATGTAACGAGTATGGTTTTTCCGCCTGCCGCCGCCTGGTCTTGTCCTGCCGCCGCGCCAGCCCCAAATAATACACAGAGACTCTTGTTTCTTATTGGCTAGCTCTGCCTTAATTATTAACCCATTTCTGCTGATCTATGTATTTCTCTTACCGGGGAGCCGGCGGCATACTGCTTTCTCCAGACTCTCCATCTTGACTCCTCTTTCCCACTTCCTATTTCCTCCTTGTCTCCTAGTCCCTCCTATCTTCCTTTCCTATTGGCCAACAGTGCTGAGAAACATATATACATAATGGCATCTCCCATCAGTTACAGCTTCTTTAAGCTGTTTTATATCTTTAAAATTTAATGGGCTGTGTTCCCTAATCCTGTTATCTGAGGATCCACTGTCTCAATCACTGGAAACACCTGCCTTTCCTTTTCTAATGCTTCTACCTTGTTCTAAATCTTATACTTCCTCAAAAGTCCTATTCATCTATGCCATTTCTTTTACTTTATTGCAATGAATTCTTTAGCTGTCTTGTTCTAATCTTGGTGCCCTGCCTTTTCAATAGGGCCACTAATTGCCCACTGAACATTTCCTTACAGTTACTGGCACCCATCCTTCAATATACCCTCATTCACTTTTGCCGGCCGGCCTTCGAGGGTGATCTCTTAGGTGATCCTTTCTTTCCCAATCTCGGGGGAACCTTCACTTGTAGCGCCAGTGCTACCATCTCTTCCACGCATCGGGCGAAGGCCTAGAGACTGAAATAAAGACAAGACAGCGGGTCATTCCTTCAATGGCAATGTCAGAACGCCAAATGCTGAATGCTGTTTATTGAGGGGCAAGAACGGGCTTAAATACCGACTTATAGCACAGTGGAAAATTACAGGAATTTTTTGGCTTAGCTACCCACTGTGTTGTCACGAGGTAGGTATGGTTGTCACGGGGTGTGTGTCACGAGGTGTGCTGTCATGGGAAGAGTACCAACAAAAGCCTTGGGGCAAAGAGTTCTGGCCAACAGCTTCAGGCTAGCCCAAGGCGCCTCAGGGGTCCATGCAGGGCCCTACACATAAGCACTATATTAATTTTTCTTTTCCTTTTACTTATTTTTATTTTTTCGAGAGATAAAATAATACATGGGTGGGTAGGGTGCCATGGCCAACCAGCAACTTTGATCTTTGATATTAGGTGAATCACCTACCTCCCTGCCTTGCCTGTTTCCTCCTGTATTCAACAGAGTTTAAAATGACTCCCTCTTCCTTGAGGTTTATAGAAATCAGTACTTTAAGAAAACAAACCTAACATTTAGTAGGAGCTGAATGAATCCCTTTCTCAAACCTAACATTTAGTAGGAGCTAAATGAATCCTTTTCTCTGTTGACTTTCAGGCCCTCTGAAACACTTCTTTTTAAGTCACAAAAACAACAGAAATCATGTGCAGTCTTCTACCCCAAGACAACAATGTGAATTTAAATAAGGTAAGGTGGTGTTTGTGTTTTATTTTATTTCTAGTGCCTTTCTTGAATTTGCCAAGGTTTCTCTAAACCAGGAGTTCTCAATTTGTGGGTCACAACCCCTTTGGGGGTCAAATTCAGATATTCTGCATGTCAGATATTTACATTACAATTCGCAGCAGTAGCAAAATCAGGAAGTAGCAGTGAAAATAATAGCATGGTAGGGAGTCGAGTTACCACAACAGGAGGAACTGTCTTAAAGGGTCACAACATTAGGAAAGTTGAGAACCACTGTTCTAAACCTTTTGGCAATAGCCACATTCTATGTTAATATCTTCAGTGACATAAAAACCTTCCATCCAGTTTGTGAGTGGTGGTGACAGGGTGCTGTCATTCTATTTGGATCACTTTCTTCTAAATACCCTACACATGCTGCTTTGTTCACTTGGGGATTTTACAATCTTTAGTGGAAACTTAGATTTTGAAATACACATAATTCAATTGCTTTGGGTTTTTTTTTTTAAAGATTTTTTTTCTTTTATTTTTATGTGTATATGTCACTTGTGTGCAAGTGACAGCAGAGGCCAGCAGAAGGTGGTCAACTTCTAAAGCTGGAGTTATAAGTGGTTGTGACCCACCCAGAGTGGGTTATAGGAGCCAAACTCAGATCCTCTGGAAGCACTTTGTTGTTTTAATTAATATCTTCCATTTTATGTGCTCTGGATGGTTTGCCTGTGTGTATGTATGCGCCCCCCATGTGCCCAAATAAATCAGAAGAGGACATCTCATCCCCCGGAACTAGGGCTATAAACAGTTGTGAGATGCCACATGGTTGGGAATTAGATCCTGGCACTCTTAGCTGCTGAGCCATCTCTCCTGCCCTGAAACTAGTAACTTTGTTTATTTCTTTGTTTGTTTTGGGACAGAATCTCCTGTAGACTAGGCTGGCCTAGAACTCAAGGAGATCTGCCTGCTTCAGTCTCTGAGGACTAAAATTAAAGACATCAAGGCACCATGCAGGGCCCATTAAATTGTGACACTTTAAGATCCTTTACTTCAAACTACAGATAAAGAAATTAGCTTCCACATACAGACATTTCAGTGATTTTGTTGCTGTTGCTAACTTAACCATTTCTCCTTTTGAGTCCCACTCTCATATAATGAAGCAGTTTGTTACCTAAAATAGTAACCTGTAAGTATATAAACACAGCTTTCCAATCACATACAGTATCTCTTAAGAGCTTCTGCAGACCACCAATCAGAGACCTTGCCTGGGAGCTGGCTCCTGATTGGTGGAAGCTGAAACAGTAGAATGTCAAAGAGCAAAAGAGAAAGAAAGAAAAAAAAAGCATAGCAACAACAGAGTTTGCTGTCCTCACTACCCTCAGCCTAGGCCAACCTGGACTCCTTCATCCCAAATGAGGTGGCCCCTACATTTTATATGAAGGCTCTGACTTACCATACAGCTGCAATCCATCTGGTATCATGGCAGTCCAATACAGGCTGGAGGAGAAAACTGAGCAACACAGCTAAAGTACAGTATATTCCCAGGTAAAACAGACAAATGCTTTCATTTGAAATGGATTACTTAGATAAGCGTCAGTTACAAAGTAACAGAACATCCCTAGGGACAGGAAGCATCAATGATGAGCAGTGTCATCTATGAATGACAGGACCCAGGGTCAAGTGTGAACTCACCCTCAGACAGAAATTTCTGCCACCTTCGGGGTCCTGCAGCCAGGCACTGTGGGGAAGATGCTTTTAGAATCGGTTCCAACTAGGAGTGAAGTCTCCCTTTGTACTTTTCTGGAAGAAGAGGTTTTAATCATTGTATGTGTTCTCCATATTTATAGGATCCACGCTGTGGAGACAGGATGAAACTCACCAGTGAAAAGTTGCCCAAAAACCCTTTCTCGCTGTCTCAGTATCCTGCTAAACAACAGAAGAAGGAGAAGCCTGGTACAAAGTCTCAATGTTGAACCTTTGCTTGGAAAATACTTTTACTGAAATGCTAGAATAAACAAGAAAGACATATTGTTGGTTTCCAGGAGGTAGTTCATATTGTACTTACTCCTGGCTTTCCTGGAGGTTGATGACATTCTTTGACAGCAAACTGACCCCAGGGGTGTCTCACAGTTTAAGCCTGATAATGATTTTACTCTCACGACTGAAGGTGCAGCTTCTAAAAAGAAAAAAAAAAAAAAAATGCTGGGTGTTGCTTCCCTCAGCGAGTACAGCATGGTGCTTTACTGCAAATGGATATTTAAAGCTATCTCCATATAAGCTTTAAAAACTGAAGTGGAGATGATCAGCTCATTTGATTAGTAGTACCAAATATGGCTCAAGCTACAAGTTTAACTCCCCCATAAGACAGCTTTGCCCAGTGCATACTGAGGCTGCATTTGAGTGCCTACCTGACAATGAACAGTAGTCCCAAACTCAATAAGAATTTGTTGATTATGCAGGGTGTTGTATTAGGTGTTGTGATCATGAGTTTATTTAGGTCATAATTCTTTCTTGAAGCTAAATTTTAGAAACTAGAAATTGGAAAGAAACTGGTATTAATAGCTCCTAATGAATTATCCGTTACATATGACTTCAAGAGAGAACTTCACATTACGTACTTAATGCATTTTTTTACCTTTCTGCATTAGATTATTACCGCCATGCTAATTTGGTGGATACAGCATTGCAATTCCTGAAAGAAAGAATAAAAAGAGGGGATGCTATGGCGTATTTTCTAAGAGGTCAACTCTATTTTGAAGAGGTATCTTTTTTAGTCATTTTTAAAATTTTTGTATAATTATATTGTTAGGACTTAATTGTTGGGGTTATTTGAATAGTGGCAGAGCAATTGCATAGGGTAGGCAAGGCCTTGGGTTCCCCCGCTGGTGTCACAAAAAGTAGAGGCAGCAGATAGATGGCCATGGTACACTTTCCAGTGAGTCTCTTACATTGCTATGCTTGAGAAATTCTGGGAAGTCACACAGGCTATGGTTGTGGCTTTATGTGTAGCACCCAGATGTAAGAGTAAAGAGACATCTGGTCTTTCTTCATGAAAGGAGTCATTTTGAAAGATCCATTTTCACACTGCAAGTTGAAAACATACGTTTTATGGTTTTATTCACCATGTGTAGTATCAATCATGAGATATTCACAAATTAATAATAATTGAATCCCATGATTATTTGGTACAAAAAGTAACTTTTCATATATCCTATACATCATGAGGATTATTTATTCACAACTTGGTAAGTAGACCTAAGAAAAAGTCAGTGTGCTATTAGATCAGCTTCAGTAATGGAGCTTAAAGTTTTCATCAGACCCCAAGGAATTGTCCCCAGTCCCTCATGATTTTTTCAGTACTCTGGAATTTATTAATTCATGTCTTCCTTTCTAACCTTTCGTTTACTCCACCTCCTGAGGCCTCAGCGTATACAACCAATCTGAGATGGCATGGCCTAATGGCTTAAAACAATGTTTTCTCAGGTTAGGCCATTTCCAATATGGCACATCATCTGTTAACTGTGTATCTATCCTTAGGCACAAATGACCATTTGATGCTTCAGTTCAGGGTTACTTTAAACACATCATAAGATGAAATATTCTCCGGGGCTTTTAGGGCTGGTATGAAGAAGCCTTGGCACAGTTTGAAGAAATCCAGGAGAAAGATCATCAAGCAATTTATCAGCTAGGAGTGATGTATTATGATGGGTTGGGGACCGCTGCAAATGCCGTAAGTTATTGTTTTGTTCAAGGTGTTTAAGATTTCACTGTAATGGATTATTTGATGCCATGTTTGTGTTTTAACAATGTGTCTCCATTTTTACATCTTAACATTTAATTTTTAGTATTTTAATGATCAATCATATCACATATATAAAAGACAAAGTTAATTTCTTTTGGTCCCTTACCACTTTGTCCTCCTTTGGCTCCAAATCTAAGCAAACAGGTTATTGATTCAACTGTCAGAAACAATGGTACTTGAACTTGAATAACCATCCCCAGCTACTACAGAAATGCTTCATCTTTCCAGTGATTTCTTCCTCCATGTGAACACAAGGACTTATCTTCAAGAAGGGGTTCCATGGTGAAGGTGTCACTTATATTTTTGTGGTGAGCTAGTCTAGTGAATTAAATATCCCACACTGTTTCTAGTTCACTTGATGTGTCTTAGGACCATTCCATCTCTCCTGAAAAACGTAGTTTATGACTGAGTTTACTTTATTGTGGTCCAGGGACGGGCAAGAGTTCAGGTTCCTTTTCTGAGGAGAGTTTTCATGAATAACCATGTGTCCATCTATATGCTGGTGTTTCCTGAAAAGATTATAGACATCCTGTGAACGCTCACATTAGAAATTGCACATAAAATTTACCTAAAAGAATTCTTATACACTGTACCAATGGTACAAATGTCAATAGATTTACATTTTTAGAGGTCAAAGTCAGAAATCGGCACTGTGGGGAAAGATTCTGCAAAACCTTGCCGACTCCTTTCTGCCCCTTCTTGCCTCTTTCTGTGTTGTTTTCGCTTTCTTGTCCTCTATAAGACAAGTGAGTATATCCATTTTCTCCCAGGTAGCATCATTATCACCCTTTCATCTGCCTTCTATTAATTCTGGTATTTGATTAGATATTTTCTTCTTAGAAGTTTGCTGTGGTTCTACTATAAAATAGTGACCTTTATTTCTTCATAGCTGCAATGGCTACTTGATGGTTTGTTTTCTGTTTAACTTATCTATCCCTCCTTGGAGGGCAAGTTTCACACATCAAGAGGTGTGTTTCTTTTGTCCAGTGTTATCTATCAGATCTATAGCAGTATCTGACCTTGTGGGTCCCATGCTGAAACTGTCATCAAGATCTTACTTACTTCCAGTGAGTTCTTAAAGGAACTTTATTAGAGAAAGAGCCTATCTTCTGAGAAAAATGACCAAGCCACCTGTTACTCTGGTAAAATGTTTTCCCTTGTTACAAATGGTCCCAGAAATACAGGAAAAGAATAGCATATAACACAGCCTAGAATTTTAGTCAGAAGTTTAGTAATTCAACATAAGGGGCTCACTCTCTAAACACAACATACTACTTGGATAGTTTAAATGAAAGAAACCATCATGGTTTCAGTGTGTGTTAAAAAAAAAAAAAATGTTGTGAAATGCTTCATATATTCCCTAAAACATAGATTTCTAAAGTTAAAAGCATAATGTAAGCAAAATCTTTTCACAAACAGAATCAAATTCTTTTCTGTAGCCAACTGTTCATACTATCTTTTGAACTTCATATCTGTCCCAGGCCTTTACCCCCTACTTTGTTTCTTCAGACCCGCGGTACCTCTCACCTGGATTATAATACAACCTTATCTAGCTATCTATCATTCTTACAGCCACCAAGGTCACCTTTCTAAAATATAAATCAGCTATGCCCTACACACCTTTAGGCAGTTCCCAAGACTTTTATGTCAAAAGATAAAAATAGGAGCTGGAGAAAGAGCTCAACAGTCTTTTGCATTTGCAGAACACTAGAGTTTGATTTTCAACTCCTAACTTGGTGAATCATAACAAACAAAAACTCCATGTCCCATGTATCCATTGTGCTCTTCGGACCTCTATAGGTACCTGTACCCACACACACAGACACACATATATGCACACACACAGACACACGCATACACAGACACACATATACAGACAGACACATACACACAGACAGACACACACACAGACACACACACACACAGACACGCATACACATACACAGACATACACACCCATACACACACCACACACACATATACATATACACACACACATACACACACATGCATGCACACACACACATACACACACACATGCACACACAGACACACACACACACACGCATGCATGCACACAGACACACAGACACACACACACACACACACACACACACACAGCACCATACAGGTAGGGGTCAGAGGAGAACTCTTTTCCCACCACATGGGTTCCAGGATATCAGACTAATTCATAAAATCTCCCCTTACCCAGGGGACATGTTTTGTCACTCGTGGTTAGAATGCCGACTGTGTGACCATACAGAGGCTACATGAAGACTGACATTTTGGACATTTGTTACTAAGGAGCACACTCAGCCAAAGTGGGCTTGAGAGAAGGTAGTATAAGATGCTCACCCTGAAGTCCCTGGGGATGCCTGGTCAGCACATACTTCCACACCTTTCCTTCCTTGTCTTTTTCCCTGGAAATCTAGAGCTGTGTATGTTAAACTTGAACATTATAGAAAGAAAGACATTCAATTTGAGTTAAACTAAAAACTAGTGTTTGTTTGTTTGTTCTTTTCCTTTGTGGAAGGAAAAAGGAGTGAACTATATGAAGAAAATTCTTGATTCTCCATGCCCCCAAACAATACACTTGAAATTCGCTGCTGCCTACAACCTTGGAAGAGCTTATTTTGAAGGAAGAGGTGTGAAACGATCAGATGATGAAGCGGAGAGGTAATGTTCCCTGGAAGTAAGAGTTTCTGCTACTGAAAAGCTGAAGCAAAGAATCACTTCCCTTGTTTTCTCTCTTAGACTGTGGTTGTTTGCTGCAGACAATGGAAATCCAAAAGCTAGCGTGAAGGCCCAAAGTATTCTAGGACTGTATTATTCGATGAAAGAGCCCAAAGAGTTAGAAAAGGTAACTTCCCCATCCCATCTTAAAATTGTATTTATTTTGGTACTGGCAAAACCCCGGCCTTGCCTGTGCTAGGCAAGCGCTCAAACACTGAGCTATATCCTAACCCTCTCTCCCTTTAACACTACTATTATATCTACATCCGTAATTATTTCTAGGTTAGGATGAGGTGGGAAGACCTGCTCTAATAGTGGATGGAATAGTGAGTTGCACTATTCCTTAGGCTCTCAGACCACATAAGAAACAAAAAACGCGGGGCCAGAGGGCTGGCTCAACGTCACATGTGCTTGTCACCAAGCCTGACGTGACAACCTGAGTTTGATCCTCAGAACCCCCATGAGAAAGAAGAGAACTGACTCCTATAGATCACACACACAATAAATGAATAAATGTGAAAAATAAATAGAAATGGGCACTGTAGCTGAGCAAATGCATTTATCTCTCTACGGGGATGCAATGTGAGCAGCCATCTCAAGCTCCTACCTCTGTGATGTTCCTGCGGTGGGATGTATCCTTCTCAGACTGAATAAACCATTCCGTTCCTGTCAGGTATTTGGGCCATAGCAATGAGAAAAGTAACAAATGCAGATGATGTTTAGCTTAAGTTTTTTTTTTATCTTGGCAGCAGGAGCTCTGCTATGGTTTGAGTAGACTCCTGTTTGCACATTTGGTCACAGCTGGTGGCATTGTTTGGAAAGTTGTGAGATCTTTAGGAGGTGGAGCTTGGTTTTATAGCCTCATTCTACTTCCATCCCACCCTCTGCTTCCTAACTGGGGAAGCCATGTGAATAGTCAGATGCCTCATGTTCCTGCCATGAAGGAGGGAACCATGAGCCAAAAAAGCCTTTCTTGAAGTTGCTTCCCGTCAGATGTTTGGTCATAACAAGAAGAAACACACACACACACACACACACACACACACACACACACACACACACACAGAAAGAGAGAGAGAGAGAGAGAGAGAGAGAGAGAGAGAGAGAGAGAGAGGGGCTCTATCTTTTCCTTATTTTCCTTAGTATCCGTGGCAAATTTCCGAGTGTACCTTCTTGCAGGTGTAAACCTTCCCTTAGTTCCTAGTTTTTTAAGTTCCTTAGTTCCTCCACTTTTACTGTCAGACTTGCAAAGCTTGGAACCCAAGACAGCGGACCTTCCTCTGCCACAAACAATGCTGGCCGCCTATGAAACTCACCTCAAGGGCATTCAAGGAGACCTGTCACATAATCGTACAATTTTAATTAGAACCTTTTCTTTCTAGAACCTCTGCATATTTTCATTCTACAGATGATAAAATGAAATTGTGATTTCTCAGGCATTTTTCTGGCATTCGGAAGCTTGTGGCAATGGAAATCTGGAGTCCCAGGGTGCACTTGGTCTCATGTACTTTTACGGACAGGGAATCCGCCAGGACACTGACGCCGCCCTGCATTGCTTACGGGAAGCAGCTGAACGAGGGAATGTCTACGCCCAGGGAACTCTTGTGGAGTACTACTACAAGATGAAGTTTTTTACAAAGTGTGTTGCATTTTCCAAAAGGTAACTGACTATCTTGATTCCTTTTGGGTTGTGTTGCTATCCCACCACCACAGATGAGTGGTTTATAATGAACAGAAATTGTTTCTCACATTTTTGTAGCTCAGAAGTCTGAGATCCAAGTTCTGTGATGTTCAGTTGGCTGGTGAAACCTGCATTCTCTGTGGGTGGGGTGGGAGGGTTGAGGGTGCAGGGTGTGTGTGTCCTCATATGCAGGTGTCAAAGGGCAAACGCTGCCCCCAAAAGGATGCATGCAGCCTCTTATAGAAGGGCTTTAGTCCTATGGATGAGGGAGGGTCCTGTGACCTAAACACCTCTTAATCTTGTGACACTGGCAATACATGAATGTTTCAGCAGACACATTCGAGCCACAATAATATTTGAGTAATAAGTAGAGGAATTTCCAAGTACTCGAAGCCATGCCAGATCTGTCCAAGAAAATTTTCTTCAGGGTTGAAATGACAATTGCTCAATGACCTTAAATAGTCCAGTGCCACTGAGAACTAAATTTAAAGCTGTTAAACTTTAAGTGAATTGTCAGTATGGCTAGTTCTCACCATATTCAATACATTTCACCTTCAGATTTCAGAGCTGGTAGCTGAAGTGGGTTTCTTGGTGTAAACTGACACATTAGAAATTCGTATTAAGAAATCTTAACCTCTTCTATATTCCCCATCATGCACTTCTATCATTGTATGGTTGAAATAAAGGTTCATGATTGTGGTATTGTTCGGGGATTTACACAAATGTTTCACGAATTCTTTGGAAACTTTTCTGGGTCTAAAAGGCTCCATTCTGTTGCCTACATGTATGTATCCACACTGTACCAAAGTGGGGACAACCAGGACACACAGTCCAGGGTACTCTAGAGTGACCACCAGACAATGGGCATGCTGCCCATAGTCCCAGACAAGCCCCTACCCCTACCCCAGGGAGTGGCAGAGATGGAGAGAAGATGAAAGTAAGAAAGAAGTCCCCTGCCAGCCCAGAGTCTTAGCTTCCAGGCAGCAGGCCACTGTAGGAGACACCTCTGATATTCCCAGCAAGTGCTCATCCTGGCTAAGATTCTGAACAGTTCTTAAAATTTTTATTACACCGATTCCTTTGTTGTGTGTACACATGCCATGGCATACATGTGAAAGTCAGAGAGCAACATGGTTGGATCCTTCCACTATGTGGGTCTTGAGGGTTAATTTAAACTCAGCTCTTCAGGCTTAGTGCTTTTATCTGCCGAGCCATCTCCCAAGCCTGAACATACCTTTAAAATGTTTAGAACTCTGCATCATTTTTCCATATTCTTATTTCCCCCTAACATTGTAGCTAACGTGAAGTTAACTAGATCTCCTTCTCATGTAAGTCTACATATTTGTGTATAGTTTGGAAAGCCTGGCTTCTATTGCACGTTTTTTTCTTTCAAGATAAATATGGTAGTTTCTTACAGAGTTAAAGTGGGCACGTGCAATTACTATCTAGATTTAAGGTTCAAGTTTCAATGGATGACCCAAAGGTGCCGTGGTTTACAGCAGCTTGGATCCTGGGACACTGGCTAGGGACAGTGAGGAGATGAAGAAAGGGCAGACACATACACACACATAATGAAGCTAGGTTCTGCTGCCACCTCACGCCGGAACCTCACTGTGTTGTTTTGGTTGGAGGTCTCTAGGGAGCAGTCTCCAGCTGCAAAATTTGGGAGGAGGAAGCTGCAGTTGCTACTCTTTGCACACAATGATCAAGCACTCATACTTGAACATCTAAGAAAAGTTTTGCCATTTCTTTCCAGCCTGGCCCAGTGAGTAACAGCTCCAAAGCCTTGGAGTTCTCAACATGGCTGTGCCCATGTCAAAACACACATCCCCCTTCCCCCGACTTCACTCACTCAGGGCTTCCTTTGCTCCCTACACAAGGGGATACAGGATTCTTTTTATCCCCTACTCAATTTATCCACAAGAGGATATGCTTAAAATATTAATGGTAACAAAATTTCTCTAATGGTTAATCCCTATGAGTATTGCCACAAGGATACAGGGATCTAGTTCACCATTCCCTGTGATTAGCACACTGTATTACATAACTTCACCACACAGCAAATGTCTCAAAATGGTAGAGACATCGCTTTAGGCGCAGACTTTCCACAGGTTGTTCTGGGAAAACATAAACCATGGCTGATATCCTTTTAAATTTCCTTATCCCTTTAGGATAGCGGACTACGATGAGGTTCACGACATCCCCATGATAGCCCATGTCACAGACTGTCTCCCAGAGTTCATCAGCAGAGGCATGGCCATGGCGTCTTTCTACCACGCACGGTGTCTCCAGCTTGGCTTGGGCATTGCGAAAGATGAAGCAGCTGCCAAACACTATTATTCTAAAGTAAGCCTGGGGATGACGTAGAAGTTGACCTACCTAGAAACCACTGCCTCTTCCTTGAGAGCAGAACAGCTGGCTCTCTGCAGTTGGTTTTCTATCCCTGTGCAGAAAACAGGTCTATGGTGAGTCTGGGCAGGTTGCATCTGGTAGGTTCTTATCAGCATAATTAAGCTCAGATAATAAAAGCCCCATTTTGATGTAAATTAGTCTCCTTAAATTGGCTGCCACCTGCAAATTAAGGTCCATCATTGCCTTTAGTGCCGAAATGTACATGTCCTCACCAAAGCAAATATATATTAGAATGAATATATATATACATACATATACATATATATACATATGAATATATATGTATATGTATGTATATATATATTCATTCTAATATTGTAATTAAATGCAGTTTTAAACAATACACAAATACACCTAGGACAAAGTTTCATGAATATAAGTTATCAGTAACCCTCTCACATTTTAATCCATGTGGTGGTCTTTCAGATCTGAGACTTTTCAACGGGGCTGGGAAAGGGGGCAGGGACTGTAATAGTAACTGCAGTGAATTTTAAAACTGTGTATGCTTTAGGTCCATGACATTCATAAGCACCAATCAGAATGGCATCATAATTAACTCTATGTGGTTCTGTGCTCATAGATCTTGCTGTATAGCCCAGGTTGGCCAGGAACTCATGGCAGTCCTGGTGGTTTTACCCCGGACATTCTGGAATTAGAGGCTAATGCCAGGTCTGATTTTGGAAGAATTAATTCATAGTCTTTGGGAATGGGACACCCCAATACTTGCCAAAACTCTCTGGAGTATTCCAGTGTGCACCCATGCTTAGAGACCCTGAGCTATCATGTTTTAAACAGATTTCCAAACAAATACAGCAGATATCTGGGGTTTTTACTGCAACACCATTCTTTCCATGTAAATTGAGTAGGGGACAAAAAGAAGTAACTTTTCTAAAAATATAAACCTTTTTGCACCATACTAATCTCCAAACCAATCTGATTTCGTGTTCCAGATTATCCATAGTATGCTTTGCAGATAAGTGGGAGAAAGCCTAGTTAAAATGATCTGATATTAGGCATAATCACCCTGAAAGGGCAGTAAACCAACAGTAAGGTGAGGACAATTTTCCACCTGTTGGGAGATAGTAGCCCTATTGCTGTGTACCAACATTGCACGGATAACATAGCAACAATTAGCCCATTACACACCATGGAAGAGACGGACAAAGTGGAGAAAATTAAGAGGTGTGCGGAAAGAAACGGGGTATGTTTCACTGTGAACTGAACATAAGGGAGTCCTGTGGCAGGGAGGGAGAGGACTTGGAACTACACCAAAGGTAGGCAGTAAGATGGGGGGGGGCAGGGACACGTGTCTGGTATCAGCACTCAGTGCTAGGCGTCTCTAAGCATTGTGCACTCTTCCAAGACCCACATTTCTAAAGTATGTGGAGGGAAATTTCAGCTCAATGCAAGGAAGAACCTTTTGACTTTACTGTCTCAGAAACAAATGCAAAAGTTTTCCCTTAGAAGGTTAACGGCTTCTGGCCAATAGCAAGAAGCTAAGAAAATCGTGAAAGACCAATGTCCTGGGCAATGAAGAGACAATTTCTGCTCAGAATGGTGCTTGTACCAGATAAGTTTTGATGTTCCTGCTGAACACCTGCCATTCCAGAATCGTGTACCTTATCACTATTTAGACACTGTAAAGCAAAATATTTAAAAAATCGAATTATTATAGATTCTGGTGTTAACATGATAGACCAGCTTGAGACCATATGTTAATCATTTCTATTTCTCTTAATAATTCTTTAGTTTTAATTTTAAAATTATGTGTATATGTTTGTCTATTTTTAAAAAGAGAAGAACCAAGCAATGTGAATTTACCAAATACCTGACTCTCTTCTCTCTTTAATCTAAGGCTTGCCGTCTGAACCCTACATTGGCGGATGAGCTTCACTCCTTACTTATTCGACAAAGAATTTAGCCCACAATGCATTTCAACAAAGACCATCAATCCTAGCAGATACATCTGTTATATCCTGCATCCCGTAATATTATCCAGGGTGTTTTACAGAAGCTTTTCCTTCATTCTTATATTTGTATTCTGTAATTTTTACAAACCAAACTTTGGACACCAATCAAATTGCTGGGAAGAGCCCTCAGAAACCCACCTCTTAGCCTGCAGAGTGGCCTGGACTGCCCTGAGTTTGAAAGCATGCTGAGAGAAAGTACCCCTGTGCCTTATTAAATGCAGTGTCTGGAATGACTTAGTACAGATTGAGTCTTGTGGTTTCCCAAGTACATGTGCTGCCAACTTAGTTAAAAACATAATTTGAAAGTTTCATTCTTTATATTTTCTTGGACATTTGTTTAATGTTACGAATTTTGCTAATTTAAAATGTACTGTTGTCTGAATTTTTTCACAAATTAAATGAAGGCCAAGTAAAATTTAAAGATTAGACTTCCAAATCCCTTATGTAGAAGTGTATAGTATTTCTATAACTTATTAAAAGAGTCTTGCAGATAACTGGCTAATTTGTAAATTTTTAAAAATTGGATTTAAGAAATTACTTAGCATCATGTCCCTCCAAATGTGCCCTCAAAGATCTTAGAGCAAAAACCATTGTGACCCTGATAAATATAAGAATTACAGCAATATGCTTTTGTTTGAATCCATTTTCTATCTTTGTTTAAATCTTAGAAACATTTTTATATAAGGTAAAATATGAAAAAAATCTCATAAAAATCATTAACCAAATGATTACTTAAATATTGTTTTGTACTCCAGCCTGAGAAAGCTTTCTTACAAAATTATTATTATTATTATTTGGTAAGTAATGTTTTTAGGTTAGCACACAAAGAAATGGATTTGACACACGTGTCACTATACTTTGTTCTCACTCCTCCTCCCTCACTGCCCTCCATCCCTGGAGGTCCTACAGCTAGCCCCTTCCCTGCGCTTCCCCAGGTAGTCTCCTGTGCGTGCGTACGTGTGTGCGTGTGTGCGTTTCTGTCTATCTGTCTGGATACAGGGTTTCTTTGTATAACAGCCTTGGCTGTCCTGGAACTCTCTTTGTAGTTCAGGATAGCCTTGAACTGTCAGAGATATGCCTTCCTCTGCCTTCAAAGTGCTGAGATTAAAGGCATGCGCCACCACCTGGCTCCCTTCTCCTTACCACATACTTTATATTACTTATTTCTCACCTCTCGTAAGATCCCTTCCTCTCCTTGTATGGTCCTCCGATTACAAGAGCTATAAACATACATACAGAAATACAAACTCTAATCCACACTGGTATACACGCGCACGTGCACACACAGACCCTTTCACATCTCAGTTCCACTTGAGAGAAAATGGTGTGCCCTTCAGAGTCTCATTTCATTTAACATAATGACCTCCACTTCTGTCTGTCTTCCTGACAAGTGTTTCAGTTTTCATTGTGGCTGCATCAAATCCTGTTGGGTTTGTTTCACATCGTCCTCATTCATTCATCTGTTAATGAACATCTCAGTGGGTTGCACTTCTAGATGCTTATGAGTGAGGTGAAGGTGAATATGGACACTTACTTTTCTCTGTAGCATGTTGACCCGAATCCTTTAGGGACACACCAGGAGTGTATAGCTGGGCAACATGGTCGTTCCTTAAGCCCATCTAGTAGGTTGGATGATTCTGGGTTTTAGTGCTTAAGTTTTGCAGTTCTGTATATATCATAGATATTAAGGATATTACTAGTTGGTAAATCTTTCCCTATTTTGTAGACCGTGTCTTCACTCTGATGATTGCCTCCTTTAGTGTGAAGAAACTTCTAAATATATAAGAAATAAATTAGCCAATATTCTTCCAAATGTCTAAATATGTGTCAAAATTAAATTAGCAGGCTAGGTGGCAATCGGGAGATGGAAGCTTGAGGATCTCTGAGTCTGAGGTCAGCCAGGGTCATAGAGAGACCCTGTCTCAGAAGGAAGAAAATTTAACTAGCAACGAACTGTCTTACTGTCTGTGAAATCTGAGAAAGAAAATATCACAGTGAAAACAATAGTCCACTTGCTTTAAATTGTGCAGGGATATGTTTGTGAAATGTATTAAAAACCTTAATCCCTGCCTTTTGTCAGCATATTACCTGTTAAATCCCAATGTCATTTTCTTTTGAAAAATTAAATTTTATTTTATGTGTATGGATGTTCTGCCCACATGCATGTCTGATGGGTGTTCTGCCTACATACATGTCTGTGTGTCAGTGCAGACCAGAAGAGGGCGTTAGATCCCCTGGAGTTAGAGGTATGGATGATTGTGAGTTGCCATGCCAGTGCTAGAATCCTCTGGAAGTTCAGCCAGTGCTCTTAACCACTGAGCCGTACAATTTGTCATTTGCAATAGTTGATGAATAAAAACAAAATCTGTTAGTGGTGAGAAAATGGAGATGAGGTGGCATCTGCTAGAGCTGCTGCAGAGCGGAAAGCCTGGCCTTGCTTATGCACTCATGTACGTACATTAATTGAACTTTGTTTTATATAAGGAGAAGAAACAGCTGTATACTTCTGCATTCTATAAAAAAGTTACAGACTTAACCAACCCTGGACACAAGGTCTTTTCCTCTGTAATAGCTACTGAATACTCCACACTCCCTCTCCACATCCTGTTCAATATCTCAAGCCTAGAACACTATTATAGCAACTTCAACTTCTTTCTCCAAGCTTGCCTTTCTCTAGTTCTTCTAGTAAACTCTCTCTCATATACACTCACACTCACTCAGACACACTCACATTCTCTCTCTAAATGTGGTGGTGCATACCTGTAATCCCAGAACTTGGGAGGCAGAGACAGGTGGATCTCTGTGATGTCCAGGACAGCTTTGTCTACATAGTGAGTTCCGGGACAGCCAGAGCTATGTAGACAGCCATTGTATCAAGAAGAACAACACAAAACAAACTTCCAAAACAAACTAACTAAATAAATTCCTCTAAAAGAATTTTGTTTTGTTTTTTGAGATAGAATTTCTCTGTAACAGCCTTGGCTGTCCTGGAACTCACTCTGTAGACCAGGGTGGCCTCAAACTCACAGAGATCTGCTTGCCTCTGCATCCTGAGTGCTGGAAGTAAAGGTGTGCATTCCTGCCACCACACAGCCCAGAGTATCTTTTCCTTAGGTGCAATTTAAATTCAACACCTAAAGTTTAAGCAATGGCTAAGGATGATCAAATGATGCACAACTTCACATCGCTTCTCTTCCTTGAATCTACTCTAGATGGTCTTTTTGGTATCTACTGAAGGACAATTCTTATGCCTAAAATAGCCAACCACAGTTTGTCAGAGTCTCAATACCATTTTAGTCTGAACAAAGGGACCAGAGAGCTGTGATCAGAAGACTCAACAATGAAACTTGTACAGTTTTAATTGTCCATCCTTCAGAACTGTGTCTCATCAAGAACTTGTCAGTAATGAGCTATTAGCACAATAAACCTATACCACTTGAGAATATTTTTTCTTTTATTCAGATTGCAGCTTTGCCTTTTGTTTTCAGTATTTCTAGAAACCAGAATAGTGCATGACTACGACTGCCTAACGCATGACAAAGCCCACAGACACTGAGTCAGTGACTTGTCCGTGGTCCCATTATCAATAATGACAAAATCGAGACCCTGGGCCTCACCTAAGGCCCTTGTAGTGCACAAGACTTCGGGATTTAACAGAATCTTTCAACTCTGTGAAGCTTTCCCTCTTCTGCTTCCCTGTCTTCGAGGCCAGTTCTTCCAAAACTCAGCTCACGTCTTAGCTGTCCAGTCTGGCTTTTGCATGCACTAAAAACCAGGCAGCAAATTTATAGTTCCTTGGGAAGCTCTCAGTGGATGGCGCCGTCTATGAAAAGGCTCTCAACAAACACATCTTAGGTGCACAAGTGTCCACGCTCTTCCTCTTTCTGTGACACAAGCTTAATACCTTTGAGCACTGTGGTTCATTTTTAAATTTTATTGCTTCAAATGCTTCAAACTATGGGAAATCTTTGGTAAAAATAAAGACAATAAAATTTTCACAATAACTTTACACCAAGCATTGCACAACAGTGTTCTTCAGTACACATGAAACACAGGAATGTTTGGAATCCTCAGTGAGGAATTAACTGTACAATAGTCAGAGTTTGTCATTTTACAACAAAACCATTTTCATAAATATTTAAAATATCTCCTATGTTCTTATCACATATTGACATTTGCATTTCAATCAGCATGTTGATCTCTAAAGTATTTATATCATTTCAATAAAAACCAATAAACACGAGTTTGTTTTTCTACTCCCTACCACAGCATCAGTCTGCTCCCTCTGATGCTGCTTATCTCACATAAAACGAGAGGGAGGTACGAAAATAAAAATCAGTGTGGTTCTTGTCAGGTCCTCTGTGGAAAAGAGGAAAATTTCATGTCTATTATTACACAGACATTTCTCTGGTGGTTGGTTTGTGCAGTCTCAGACTTGCCCAGCTTTGAATTGATCCAAGTGAGTTCTCAGCTCGGGACACAGTTCAATGAGCAGCAGCTCCATCAGTACCTGTCCAGAGAAAGAAAGGCAGAGAAGGGGCTATGTGAGGGTTTACTTAAAATGCGTGCCTGAGAGAAACATCTACTTATAGTCCTAAGATTGTCCTCAGTAAACAAGTGTCTCTCAGAAGAGTTCAGACTACAGAGACTCGACGTATGCCATGGTCCATTAGGCACATCCAACTGTCTGTGACATTTAATGTTGATATTTTTTTCCTCTTTTGGTTTTGCCTTTTTTTTTTTTTTTTTTTTTTTTTAAAAAACAATGTGTCATGGAGCCCACACTGGCCTCTACCTCCCGAGTCCTTGGATTGTAGGCATGTGTTGGTACTTCTAATGAGAAAAAGTTTCCTTGGCTGAAATAACAGAAACTGCAGTCATGCAGAGATGTTAAGTCAGGTCAGCAGAGGGCTCACTGTGCAAGAAGAGGACTGCTATGTCCCCCTTTATAATTCTTAATCAAATGAGAGACAAAAGGAAGCAGAAAAAACAGGCTCCGAGTAATAAGAAAATAAATTGACACTATTAGGGATTAAAAGCTATCCTAATTTGTTAACAGAAATACAAAATCCAAAAAGGAAGAGAGTCCTCTGGGGGATCGCTTACTCACATACAACAGGTGCTTATTGGCTCTCGTTTCTTGCAGTGCCTTGAATATTTTTATTATACCATGGCGGGCATTTTGCTGTCCAACAAGGCTCTGAAGTGTATCTGAGGAAAGAAAATATTGCATGTTTTGGTGCACTGCTGAGGGCTGAACCCAGGGCCTTAAGCATATTAAGTCTATTTGTTACTCTTCCTGTTACCTGTGATAAAATAACTCTTATTTTGGGGCTTATTTTGGGTCAGGAGCTGAGGTGTAGTCCAGCACGGTGAGAAAGCTACAGCAGTTGGAGCCTGAGTAGGCTGTTCATGCTGCATCCAGTCAGGAAGCAGAGGGCAGCAGCTGGACACTGGTGCTCTGTTCATGTTCTCCTTCACATTCAGACAAGGGCCTCACCCCATGCAAGTCTACCACGTACATGTAAGGTGGGTCTCCCTGCCTCCGTTAACCTAAGCCAGGTCAACTCCCAAAGGCATGCG